ATTCATGTTGTTCCAGTCATAGTGTTGATGTCTTTTAGTTTACGAACAACTTTGATCCCTGGCTTTCCCATTGGTAGGCTGAGACACTGCAGACGGATACAGCTAGAAGGCAGATAGATGTAATGTTAACTCACAATGCAGATTCATGCTAGTGCCATAAATCAAACAAAGTTCTGATTTAAGATACTGTGTATAGTACTGAATAATAAGAAGAAGACTTAATTGCAATGTTACAAATAATCAGGTAACACTGCATGAACATACTCTCAGGCTTAAAGCACCAACACAGTAACTTTTTTTTCATAACTGCAGCCAAGAATGTTTTCACCCTGATTCTGAATTGTCAAGTATACATTTTGAGACCCTTGCATCTCAAGAAAATATCCTACGTCCAACTAAACGGCAACCGTGTATGAATTTTGAAGTTGAGACAGTTTTATTACATACTGAATATAGAAAATGGCCACAAAATTGCAATGTGATTTTGTAGGAATCCTCTCAACAATCAAGGTAAAATGGCCAATATTAAAATGTTGATTATGACTCTCATATGTCTCATATTTTTTTGTAGTCCTCTAGATGTCTAGTAAAAATGATTGCGTTATCACCTTGAAATATAACTATGAACAATATGAACCATGTTCTACAGCTGAATGTCCCACAGGCTGTCGTCTTGTAAAATAGTGAATGCTATGACATCGAACGACACTGTTTGAGTGTAGAGAGGAGATTTCATGTTTTAACTGAGTGCACACCCCGGTCTGATGCCCTCTTATTTCCCCCACAGGAATCTATTATTCCTCATTCACAGGATGATAGAGTTTGTGGTGCGTGAAGGCCCTGTGTTTGAAGCTGTTATCATGAACAAAGAGAAAAACAATCCAGACTACAGGTGAGTGTTTTGCTGCACTTGGTCTAAAATGTTATTTTAAAGGGTATAAATCTTAATTTGCTGTTTTTTCATTTTCTCAGGTTCCTTTTTGAAAACAAAAGCCAGAATCATGTGTACTATCGCTGGAAACTATTCTCCATCCTCCAGGTATGTTTTTGTATTCCTTAGCCTTGTTTCTAAAAGATTTATCTGGGAGAACTTCAAACTGTTCAATCATTTAAATGGTAATCTCATTTTATGGGAAATAGCTATTCTGATTTGAAACACAAGCTTTTACTCCATGAAAATGAAATTACGGGTGTTTTTATATGTGAGTTTCTAGGTTTCTGACATTTATCTTCTCCACAGGGACAGACCCCGACAGAATGGAGGACCGCAGATTTTCGTATGTTTCGGGGGGGCTCCATGTGGAGACCCCCTATCCTGAACAACTACTCTCAGACCGGTGAAGATAGTGCCGAGGCAGAGGAGGAAGCTCCCCCTGAGGAAGAGGTGAAGAAAGGGCAGCTCAGAGCAGAGTAAGTGCAGGCATAATGACATCTCCATACGTGCATGACTTAAGTTGAATTGAATGTAATCCTTTGTTATTCTTTACGATTCAGGCACAGGCAGAGGTTGGAGACTTTGCTAAAAGAGCTCACTCCCAACAGAGAAGATATCGCCAATACCATGCAGTTCTGTCTTCAGAGGGCAGACGCAGCAGAGGAAGTCGTGGGACACATCACTCAGTCTTTCTCCTTGCTTCAGACGCCCCCTCAGAAGAAGGCTAGTTTGCCTCCCTTGTGTAATCGAAATGTCACTGAATGTGTTAGTAAAGTGTGTTACTCACATCAGTTTTCTTCATCCTCATTCCCACAGATTGCCAGAATCTATCTCGTGTCAGACATCTTGCACAACTCATGTGCCAAAGTGCCCGGTGCATCATATTATCGTAAATAGTAAGAGATGTTTACCCTAAATCAGCCTTAACACTTGTTTTATTTTGTATTTCTTCTTCATGTGACAGTCTAACGTGTCTCTGCCTCTGTTTTTTTTTCAGTTTTGAAACAAAGCTTACACAAATATTTGGAGACCTTAATGCAGCGCATAAAAACATACAGGCCAGGCTGCAGGCAGAGCAGTTTAAGGTAATCACGTGTTTCATTTGCCTCACATTTAAACTTAAAACAGAACAACATAAAAACCCTTTTCCTCCCTATCCCCGCAGCAAAAGGTCTCGTGTTGTTTTAGAGCATGGGAGGACTGGACCATATACCCCGAGCCGTTTCTAATCCACCTTCAAAACATCTTTCTGGGCTTCGCCAAAGCTGTAGAGGAGACGATGGAGCCAGTGGTGGAGGTGAGCTGAATATTTATATACTCATTGATCCCATTGTCTACACTCAGTGATTAATCAACACAATCATTGGCAGATAAATCTATACTGAAAGTAATCGTTAGTTGCAGCCCTGATGTGCACTTATCTGTCTCCTCGCAGGAAGTATCCTCTTATCTCGATGGCGCGCCATTGGACAACGCGCTCATAGACGGGTTGCCTCTCAGAGCGCCTGTGGATGACCTCGACGGCTGCCCCTTAGGCTGGGACCCTCTGGACGGGGTCCCTGTTGACGACATTGACGGTGTCCCCTTGGGAGTTGCCATTGACGACATTGATGGCATGCCATGTGAGTCCACCACAAATCAAAAGCACGTCTCTTAACCAGAAGTCCACCGTCTCCTGTTCCCGTTATCAATGATCTCTCAAGTGTCTAAGATCAATACACGATCAATCCATGGCTTGTTGTCTGTAGCTGCAGTGGGATGCAAGCACAGGATTTTCCAACAGGGAATTATAAAGTCATCAACTTCATTAAATAGCTGTCCTGACCCAGCTGTCTCTTTTTTTCCTCAGTGGAGGAGGGCAGTGTTCCTCTCTCCGGCGTGCCTTTGTCGAAATGGGAGAAGACGGTTGACTCCGGAACATTTTCCCAAGGTAACACAGGTCAATATATGCTTATCATATCAATCCTGCCCTCTGTTTTCCTGCTTACTTTACTCCTTTCTTTCTTAGTCATGCTTGGGTCCAAGTGGGACATGGTGGTGGAGAAAACCAGTGCGAATGAAGTGAAAGTAAGGTAAGGTTCCTGTGGTTCGCATCGTTGCATCTGGCTACATCTACGTATATTACACATATTACACAAACCCGGTTTAAAAATGAATAATTCTCCCTCCCCTCCTGGTGACAGTGCCAACTCGCAGGATGGTGATGACGACTCTGAGAGCGACAGCAGTGATGACGGCGGCGGTTCGTCCAAATATGACAATGCATATTTCCAGAGCTCCCTCAAAAGTTTTCAAATGTCCGAGAGCAAAAGGAAACGGTTGAGAGAGCTGGAGGTAAGTCCACATTCATGAATTAATTAATTCATGAGAGGAATACAGTATTAGCGTTTGTATAAAAAAATGTATTTGCCCTCTTTAATCATTTCCTGTGGTTAGACCCATTCTTCCCCCACTTCCTCTAGCTCAGTGGTTCCCAACCTATTTTTTTACATATAATTGTAACGCAATACATGATTGCCACTAAAAGCCTTGTCTCTAGATTACAATAAAATATAAAAAATAATTGATTAATTAATTTGAATACAAATTCAAGTTAGTAGCTATTATAGGCATAAAAAGACAGAAATGTATAATTCTTTCTTTAATATAAATGTTTCTTCTGCGCGTTAAGTGTCCAAACCGGGCTTGTCTGGATAAGCCCATTTTTAAAACAGTCATTGTCCATGCCGGTTTCAGTTGGATTATTTGTCACAGTTGCTCCGATCAGATCGGTCTCCTCCATTTTGTAGATTATTTACGACTTTTGAATCCACATAAACACATCGGCAAAATCCGGCTTACTTTGAGCATGCGTTTTAAACAGTTTAATCCCTTTGTGAATCCACTTCCGCCGTCCTTTAATTTCTTCATACAGCGGGAATCCAAATGAATTAATCCTGAGTCCAATAACCATCAAAGTCACTCCAATAGTGCTCCTTAATTACGCTTTCATCCTCCTTTAACAAAATACTTCACATTCATCCAGTTTGTGACAGTAGTTGTAGCACTTTGAAACTTTAATTACCGCTGTTGCGCCCCCCCAACAGGAGTCATTTGGGGGGGCGCTTGGGAATAAAGGTTGGGAACCACTGCTCGAGCTCACACTTTATGCCATGTTACAAACATCTCCTGTCAGAAATGTTTAATTTTGAATAGAAGACGCTATTAAAGAGGCCCTATTATGCTTTTTGCCACAATAGAGGCGCACAATACAAATACCAACCTGAACATGAGCATGTCATCTTTCTTATGATTATTATTTATCATTACTTATTCAATATAAAAAGTCGAACCATAGTTGTATTGTCATATGCAATAGCTTTACAGTCTGCATTTGACTCCATAGTTGTTTGCCTCCCTACAGTAGCATCTTCAACCGTGTGACAATATGTGAAATGGTGGTAAATAAATATACAGAACTGATTGGATGTGTCTTGCCACAGGTGAAGGTAATGAAGATCCAAGATGAGCTCGAGTGTGGAAAGAGGCAGAGGAAGTCGGGAATGAGCATACAGCAGCAGGTGGAGCACTACAGGAACAAACTGCTTCAGAAGGTGAACTCTATTCTTCAGTTCAATCTGGAGAGACTTAGTTTGTAGTTGATAACATTTTTATAGCCGTATGCACAATAGCGTTTTGGAGATTAGACCCCATCATACTGTGATTAAGGGGGAGGAGAAGCCGACTAGAAAGAGAAACCCCCCGGGGTCTAGACTGGTTCTTCTGGGCTATCCTGCCTTGGATCTGAAAAACTGGAGGTGGAGGAGGGTTGCATCAATTCTCCTGAACGATGCTGTCAGAGGAGAGAAAGAGCAGATTTAAACGTTTTGCCAGGTGTGCTGTGAGGAATAAGATGCAGCCGATTGGTTTAGCTGGGGTAAGTTGCGCCTTTGCTTTATTGAGAAAAGGGGCGAGTGAGTGAGGGATAATTGTGAATGAGAGCGTGGGAACGAGTCTTCTTGAAAGAACTTGCGCTGAGCTTCATTTAATAGTCTCTTAAGCAAAAATAAAAACCATGACTGATGTGTAATAGAAACATTTCTTTAATCAGGAACAGCATGGGGCAACATTTACAAAAGTGCTTGCTATTAGTACATTAAAATTAGACTGTGAAATTAGTCAGTTGGCACGGTAAAAAAAACAGTGTTACAGACACGCCCAAAGTGAAACTGCAAAGCCAGGTAGCAAGCCATTTTAGATCTGCACCAACTGAGAGGGAGCGTCTAGCTTCAGCTGCTGTTTGTGTCCTAATGTGTTTTCCAAGTTTTTTTACTATAAACCGATTCTTTTGAGTAGTTTCTGAATATTTTACCCACAAAATACCCATTTTCAATTACTAACCCTGTGGTATTTTGAAGAACACATTTATATCATTGCATGTACCCAAAAATACAGAAAATTATTCTTGAAAAAGGGTAAATTGGGGCTTTGATCAACAGCAAAACTTAATCAACAAACATCTTCAAAAAGTTTCATCTCCCAGAAGAATGCTCACTACTTACAAAACACATGCATTTCCGCTCACGCATTTCCAGTTAAAACTCTTGGAAAATGTTTCAAAATATCTTTTCTTTTAAATAAGGCCACCATTTCCCTCAATTCAAAAATAATTTTCTACATTTTTTGTGATTAGTTTTTGTTATGAATTATAGTTAACCCAGGGTGAGTATTTGATATACAAATACTTTTGAGGTTGTAGTATTTCAGTTACACTGCTTGAAAAAACTGTTACCCTGCCTGTAAGTGTTAATGCTGATATCTTTCATTTCTGTAGGTGTGGGTGAGCATGTGTTAAATGGGTCGCACAAACTAAACAGCTCCCCCTTGTGGAGAACCTGCACTATGTTTTAGTTGAATTAGTAATTGATTACAAGCCAGTTGTCGTATTTTGCATCTCAACAGACAAAAACAATAAAAGCCTTTTATCTGACTTCATTGGGATGTTTCACCGTGTCTACTATAGGAGTTTGAAAAAGATGAAGACAAAAACGAGAGACTGACATCAAAGCCCAAAGACAGGTCGAAGGATGACAGGAGGGACAGAGATCGGAGCAAACGAAGTGTAGAGGGCGTCAGGAGACGAGGAAGGAGTCGAGATCCAGACGACCACGCCCGAAAGTCGAGGAGCATCTCTCCTTTAAAGCAAGTGCCAAGACATTTATTTGTGGAGCCAATGCATTCATCCATAACGTCTTTCTTTCTTGTCAGTCTGTTAACTTTCAATCCTTTTTAAACAGGACAAGGTCTCCCAAATGGTCCAAGCGTTCCCGATCACCATCTCCAGACCGGAAGACCAGGAAGTCCAGGTCGCGGTCGCCACATCGCTCCCATAAGAAAGCAAAGAAGAGCAAACACTGACTCTCATCCATTGCCCTGCTGGTATCCATGGGTTACACAGCGCTCTTTAAAACAGACGAACATGTCCGCTCTTTTGGTCCCAACTCACTCTCCATGCAAGACTCTGCACTCTTTTTTTTGTATGATGAAGTTTGAACACTGTAACTAATTATATATTTTTGTTTTAATGTTTGTTTTTAAAATGATAAGCTGAAATGTTGCTGCAGAGTTCTGACACTAAATAAATCACGGATGTTGATACAACGTGTGTGTGGAGGAGATGATTTGTAGGGCCAGGTATCAACTACTTTTACTGGTAATTTTTTTATGTAAAATATGTCGTCAACACGCATTCCTCTAGTTTGTGTGGACTTGAGTAAATGAATAGAGCATTATTTGGTTCCGTTTACAAAAGCAGCAAGTATGCAATGTTACACTGAATTTACAGTAACATTAATAATGACATGTGCTTTCATTGGAAAAAAATATATCAAAACGTCTTTAAGAGCCAATATTGTTCTTGACCATTTTTAAAGATACCCAGCCCAAATCAATAATAGCCGTATACTGATTTCATGTACCGTAGATTTGCTGTCATCTGCTAAAATGTTCGATAAATTACAGAAATAAGATTTAGAAGTTTAATTTAGAAAAGTGATCTAGATTTAGGCACAAATCATTTCAAACCACCTTGCTTCAGACAAATGGTTACATCTCTTTAAGACACGTAAATGTGTGACTGACATTAGGACTTAGCTTTTCTAAAACGTGGGAGCAAAAGAAATTAGTAAGGTGCCCATACTGTTACAAAATAACCTAATCTTGCCATACTCCATCCGGACCACACAGCTGTAAATGAACACGTATGTTTCTGAACAGACAACACACACGCTTGGCATTTCTGGCTCTTTTTTCCCTTAGCGCAGAACTGTTCACAGTTGCTTGGTATTCAAGATAAAAAATAGAAACGTGACCGGGATTCACACCTCCTCTGTATTGTACAGTCTATTCCCTTCTATGTTAGGGTCCATGTTTTCCTGAAAGAAGGCTACAGACGGCTCTTTGTCACAGAGCGATAACCGTTAGGTAGTGGGTGACGTCAGAAGGCCCCTGACAGACTCTCCTTCGTCTTCAGGAGCGATTTCCTGCAGTCTGCCTGAGTGTGAGGAGCTGACAGCCTCTGCAATGCTCAGTACTTTTTTACATTGATGAAAACCTTGATGGCTCCAGTGAAGTCAGCAGAAAGTAGAACCTCTGTGTGATCCGTCTTTAGGGCTCCTACAAAGGACAACACTCAATTTAAAGTACCGAAATGTCTTGATGTTGTGAAATCTGCCCGTAAAGGGAAACGTACCTGAGGGTATGGTTTCAGAGTCAGTGGAGTCCAGGCTCTTACACTCTGCTTCTGGTTTGTCTGCTCCAGGTTCTGGCGGAACAATAAGGCCTGGGTGGGGTGCAAAAACTGCTGAGGTGACCACTGCATTGTGTGCTGAAAGATAAGTCAAGGTTTAGTGTCAGTTCAATCAAGAGGGAACAATAAGTTATACAGGTAGTTGCATTAAAATCAAGCTTAACATACAACATAGTTACCTTTAATTCCTTCCCAGAAGTCATTGCGGTCCCGTCGTACAGAAGTGAATTTGCTCAAGTCGTGGTAAGTGCTCCAGATGTACACGTACTTATCCTCTGAACCACTGACTATAAAGGAGTAGTCATGACTGCAGGAAGACAATCCTACAGTTAATTAAGGCACAGTCAAAATGACAAAGACAAAGTGTGCTTTATGGTGGCAGGGCAGATTTGCTTTACTGTAAAAGGTCAGTGTTCATGTTTAACAGTTGGAGATGACAGTAAAAAAACATGAAAAGGAGAATTTAGGCAACACCTCTACTTTCAACTGCAACTCTTGCATGGAGTCTGTTGCTCAGTAATGCTAGTTTAAAGTGGACCTGTCATGCTATATTTGAAACATATATTGTAGGGCCATACCTATACAAAACATGTCTGTGACGTTTTTTTTTTCAAAATACCAAACAGTTCACCCATTGTAGCCATCCCACATACTGCTCAAACCCTTCTTTTGCAGCCCTGTTAGAGAAACGCGGATCTTGGGTCCTTAGCTTGAAAAAAAGAAAAGAAGAGGAGGCGGAGCTAATGCCTGATTAGAATTCTACCGGAGATAAAGTTAAATTCTGCTGTGACAAAAACGCCATCCTGTTTAAACCACGTCAAGGATTATTTCTGAAATAGTATGGAGCTCAAATGCTTTTTCTCTTGCAGGTTTATCACAAGGTGAGTTATTTTTATATTTCCTGCTTTTTAAAACACATGTGCTTTACAGTACAGGTTAGCTCTGAGTGTTAGCGAGGCTTGCTAATGTAAACAAAGACGAGATTACGTCCAAAACACGTCAGGCATTGTTTCTGATAGCTATTTTCTGTGGGTCCGCTGCCGATTTGACGTCAGTTCGGATATAATCTGTATCCGCTCGTTGTACACCCGTTTTTAAAAGATTTGGGTACGGAGGAAAAGAGAGAGGGTTTTATTTTCTGACGCTGCGTGAGTTCCCCGACGCACCGGGGACACATATGTATGTATAAAGACATCACAAAGTGCACTTTGCATGATAGGTCCCCTTTAAAATAATGAAAGGGGCCCTAATATGCTTTTGGGGGTTATAAAGGTTTTTGGGTACCACTTTACAATAAGACTATCCTTATAACGGGTTTACGAATAGTTTGTAATTCATGTATTAATTAGGTTGTGAACACTTTATAAATCATGAATAAGCTTTTATAAGACATGAGATAAACAGGGCACCTGTGACCGGTTGCTTGCCAAATAGTGAGCCCACATTTATCTGTACTGCTAAGTCTTATATTGGCTGCCTAGCTTACTTCGTCTTCTTCATCAGCCAGCATCCTTGGTATCTGTTGTTCACTGAGTTGATTCTCGCTAAGTAGCCAATATAAGGCTTAGTCATCTTGCCAAATAGTGAGCCTGTGTTGATGTATGCAAACTATGTTAGAACTGGTTTATAAATTGTTCTTAATGATTAATAAAGTGTTTACTACCTAATTATAAACCCTTTATGAATCCTTTATAAGGGTAGTCTTATTGTAAAGTGGTACCGGTTTTTGTGCATGTAAATGGTCTGCAAAGCCTAAAATCCCTCCAGAAGTTGTTTCTCTCTCACACACCTTTATTAAAAACTAGGAAAGAGAGCCATCCTCACCTGAAGCTGGCCTTGATCTGGCTGCTGCTGTTGACATAACCTTTGTATTTCATGGATAAAGACAAGTCCCTCAGGTCATAAAGGCGGATGCGGGAATCGTTTGAGGTCACCAAAATCTGTCAAAGGGGGGAGGTCATTTCAGAGGTCTGTTTAAAATGCCTAATCATAGGGACATCATACATACTGTATGAAACATGTATCTATAGTGCAGATCGTGTTACCTTGTTCTCTCCAGGTAGGGGCTCAATGCCGGTGATTTTGCGTCCTACTTTGTTCCTGCCTCTAGTGGACCTCACATGAATTTGAGTGTGGTATTTCAGACGCTAAGGAAGGGGAAAACAGAAAATGCATTTAACTGGGAATTAATACAAAACGTTTTTTGATGATATAGCAGTTAGCATTCGCAGGAAAGAGTATCTTGGCTCGGTACCTCCGTGTCATAGAAGATGCATCGGCCATCGTACGTGCCGATGACGGCGTACTTCCCATTTTGGCAGAAGTTAGCTGCCGTGATGAGGCGTGTTGTGCCGTCCACCTCGTTCCACAGCGCCACCTTCTTGTCAGGAATGTTCCAGAGTCGTAGCTTCCCATCCAGAGAGCCACTTAAAAAGTATCTGTCATCCTGGGAAACAAGAGGAAAGCGTTGTATAAAATAATAAATACAGATGTGATTTATGATGAGGGAAGGTGACTCGACTTACTCTGGGGTGGAAAGCAATGGCTGTGACGAAATCAATGTGCTGAAAGCAGCAGAGACACTCTCTCCTCGATATGTGCCACAATCGCACCGTTTTATCCATGGAAGAGGAGAGCAGGAAGAAGTTCTAGATTGACACAAAAAAAATGTGTAAGACGAGATAAAACTAGAATTTTTCATTTAATCGTTTATTTGAAGAGGCACATTGATGAACATTTAAAACAAATAATGCTTTAAAACGTAAATATGCCGGATTTTAGCTTTGAGCTCATTTCCATCCGTAGTCCCTCACATACAACATTTAAGAACATGACATTTATATACATAGCAAAAATAAATACATGATATCCAGAAAGCGCATGAGCAGCATATACTTTTCTTGTACTCTCTTGTACAGCTGTTCTATAGGTTTCAGGTTTGTGGCACAAGCAAACGACCAGTTTGTCAAACAGTATTCAATGTGGGATAGAATCATACAGTGGAGGTATGACTTTGCAGCATTGACAGTTAAGAAAGGTCTAATTTGTTTAAAATGTTGCAAGTTGAATTTAACGGTATTGGATACTTTCTTAATATGTTTCTTAAAAGTCAAGTTTGAGTCCAATATGACTCCAAGATACTTGAAGTGGGAGACTAGTTCTATTTCTGCTCCGTTTAAAAACACATTGGATCCTTCGATTTTGACTGGTCGTTTACTGAACATCATGCATACTGTTTTTTTTGCATTTAACTGTAAGCAAATGTTGTTCAGCCAGTGTTGAACCTTGTCCAAAGCATTTGAGAGACAGGATGAGATAATTCCAGTGTTTTCCCCACGTACAAAGATGAAGACGAGGGATGAAAGAAGGATGAAGAGGGCAGTAAGACATCACCTGATATTATCATGTCTTTACTTATTCATTTACCTTTGACCAGGACAAGTCCAAAAGATCCGCCGTGTGGCCTTTATACTTGCAGAAGGGAATTTGACGGAAAGGGGCGTTTCTATCTTCTGTGTCTGGGTCCTCTGGAGCACAACTTGCCTAAGACAACAACAAACATAACTGTAAAAAATACACCTTGCAATACTTGCACTATTTATAAAAAGGGAAAGAATATACATTTCTTAAAATAGAACTGCACAGCTTTTTGTAATTTATCATAAACGTGTTGTATTTTATTTTTTGTATTTATATATCTTGTAAAAAAAAAAAAGTATAATAGTTGTGACACATTTTTCTTGACTTATTTCATGTTTTTATATTCTTTCATTTATGTTACTGTGTTTATTTATTCATTATTATACACGGAAGTGCCTTGTTTGTGAAACCTATTAAAACCAATAAACCAATAAATACAATTCTGAATTTGATCACTGATTTTTATATTTTCTTCTAACACTAGATAACCGTAAGTAAAAGGTATTATTCATTTCACTCACCAGGTGGTCGTCAGATTTAGAGGAGCATAAACTTTCCTGAGAAGGAGACGGTGAAACTCGACCTGCAGGAACCAATCAGAAAGCATCTTACTGCAGCCAAAGCTGGCCATCTAAACGTATCAATCATCATACCACAACAAAGAAAAACCTTACCTTCAGTGTTGTACTTCATTCTCATATTATTGAAGTAGTCAAAAGCAGTCTTCAAGACCCAGATGCGAACCACATTGTCCTGGCCGGCTGTGGCCAGCAGCCTCCCGCAGTGAGAGAACTTCATCGTCCACACGGCCCCCTGAGGGGAAGACACAGAAGCTGTAATACTAGCCTGAAAGGTCCCCTATATACTCCTTTTCATCAATATATTACAGGTCTCAGATATATACAAAACATGTCTCTGAAGTGTTTGGCTCCAAATACCAAACAGATCATTGCAGCATCCCATAATCCCCTCTGTTTCAGCCCTGTTTCAAAAGTGCTGATTCTCTGTCTGTTACTTTAGATGAAAATAAGGAGCCACTCCCCACGCCCCTCTGAGAGAGATTTGGTTAAAAAGAACACAATAGTTCACACCAAGTACTTTGCCGTACTTAGTGCCGGCACTTAGTACCCCAGGGCACTAAGTACCAATCGTGTTCACACTGGAGTACTTTTCCTTGAGGGAAGATTACACAAATGAGCCGCTGACGTCACTTCTTCTGCTTTGGGTTTACTGGCAGGCCGCAAACAACTTCACGGCGTATACTGCCACCCGAAGTCCCCGGCTGGAAGTCCCCGGAGTTGGGGACTGGCTTCAGTAGAAGCTGCTGGGACTCCCAGCAGCTTCTACTGAAGCCTTCCGAGTAAATCACCAGAACGCAGACACCTCCTCATCTCCACCGCTCCCATGTTTTCTTTTGTGTTGCCATAAGTTATTCTCTCTCCGTTGGTGCGCGGGGCTAATGCTAATAATGCTAATGCCACAAATACAATGGCGGCTTCACAAAACTTTTCAGAGTTTTACGGGGCGTGGTTTGCAATTCCCCAGCCAATAGAAATTGATACTTTTTTGGTACCACCTCTCTAGCAGGCACTAAAAATGGGGGTAAAAGTTCCCAGCACTAAGTACTAGGGATGCACGATATTGGTTTTTTGAAACCGATACCGATAACTTCCTGCTTCTCAAGACCGATACCGATACCCGATAATAATATAATATATATATATATTAAATGTACCTGTAGTTTTTGCACACCTGGTGGTAAAAAAAAGACTAGTAGTGAGCAAATGACATGAGCATTACTACTATGAACAAAACAAAGCCAAGAACAGTTTTGACTCTTCAAAGTGACCATATTTATTTTCCCAAACAAATCTGGCAAACTTCTTGCCTTTTTCAAAAGCCTCGTCGATAGGTAAAAGCCCCGGTGCCTTTGCAGCTGGCTTTGGATTCGCCGCTAGTTTAGCAGCGCAGGCGTCTTCGTACGCTTTTAACACACCATGGTAGCGATGGCGATGTTTCAGGTGACTAATCAGGTTGGAAGTATTATAGCTCGTTGCCTTTTTCCCTCCTCGTGGAACTTCTGCATTGCATTTGTTAATACAAATAGCAAGCGAACTATCTAACTCTGAAACGTTGAAATAGTCCCATACTACCGACGACATGTTTGTTTACTGTCCTGGCTTCACGGCCGCACACCATTTACGTCACAGCCAGGCATGAGTTAGGGAGCGCTGGGTTTGTGAAAAACTCCCCTCTTCCTAAACCACTAATACCACAGTACTGGCAAAACGGAAGGAGCCGAGTAAAAAACAAGCGCCCCTCATCCCAATCCACCCACACCGCAGTATTTTTTCTTTTCTTTTTACCCAAAAAATATATTGTATATTATCGGAGCTATTAATACTGTTATCGGGTTTATCGGGATGACGTCATAATTCCTAATATCGGACCGATAATTATCGTGCACCACTACTAAGTACTCTTTTTGGTCTGAACGCGACAATAGGGGTACTAACGGAACTAAACGGGAAAAGTACGGGGTAAAAGTACTCCGGTGTGAACGCGCCTATTGGTGCTCTAGGAGGAGATTCAGGTGATAAGGTGGGGGGGGGGGGTTTACCTAGGTTGGTGATAGGCTAATGGTTACACAAGCCAAAAAAATCGTTATGACATCATAAAGTGGCCAAAATCTGATCAGCTCATTTTCAGACAGGTTTTTATATAAATGGATCAGGACAAAAAGAGAGAGAATCTTTGTTCCTGAAACTTTCAGAGTCTCTTTACACAGAGGGGACACATGTTGATGTATAAAAGACAAGAAAAAGTGGATTTTGCATAATAGGTGACCTTTAACTGGCAAACTTCTTTAAGCATTGTAAATGAAGATGGTCTTACCGTGTGCTCTCCACTGAGGTCCTGCACAACCTTAATCTGATCAAAGTCAAAGGGGCCCTTGAAGCTGTGTGCTGCCTTGAACTTGGCGGGCCGGGTGTAAGGCATGCCCTCATCGTCACTCGATGACGGATCGTCCTGGTCTGTGTGGAACACTGAGCCGAAACAAAAAACATAACTCAGGTTATCAAACCTTTCGCAGCAGCAGGAGCGCTAATATCTCAAACGCATGTGCAGACATTGGAAAATCCTTTCAAATGGATGTTCTCTTTAGAAGCAACATTTATCCTCAGATGTTTAACAAATGTTCGGTGTTAACTGTTTCCATTTTCATGATTAAGTAGAGCTTGTTCCAGATTTAATAGCCTCACACTCAACAGTGAAACATTTCTCAGGGATGCATGTCAAATCGTGCTAACGTATTGGAAAATGTAGATACGCGAGATCACTAAGCAAAGGGAAATAAATGCCCTGCTCAATCTGCTTGGTGAAGCAAAGTTGGTTGAGTTATTTATATGTGGTTTTTGATGATTCAGTAGTGCACATATTTTAATGTTGCCATTAATGTTAATGACAGCGGCAAAGTGAATTATTTGTCCTTCAATATTCTCAAAGCCCACATCCGTTTATAAATGGCCTTCTCAATAAAGTCTCTTCCCCTGCCTGCACTTCTCTTTACCCTGAATTCTGTTCTCCTTACACTTGTAATTTAACACAAAAAAATAACCACTATTATAAAAAATGTACATAAGAGTTTAAAATCACTATACTTTAACTTGTAGTTTGGAGCAGTAAGAATATAGGTACTTTTCCACAAAAAAACAACAAGAAGTGTTTTCCTGAAATCTAACTATAAGCACAATTACTTCTGATAGTTGTGTTCTTTTACCTTCATCTCGCACACTTTTCACTTTGTTGACTGCCTTCTCTCCGTATTCCTCAGCCAGATGCTTGGCCTTCTTCACAGACTTGCCCAGGAACTTTTTAAACTGGGTCCTGGTTATAAATAAAAAGGGATATAAAAAAATTACAATCTATATTTGATCACGTGGTGAGAAGGGGAAGAACATCAATTCAAGGAACAGGCTACGATAAGTCCTTACATTACATTACATTACATTACATTACATTGCATTTAGCTGACGCTTTTATCCAAAGCGACTTACAATAAGTACATTCGACCAGGAAGACACAACCTTGAAGAAAACAGAATCATATAAGTACATCAGGTTTCATAGAGCCAAACATTTCAAGTGCTACTCAACTGGCTTTAGATAAGCCAGTCCTTTATTAGTATAAAAGTGCTTTGTTAATAGTTCTAACGCTCGAAGTGGAGTCGAAAGAGATGAGTTTTCAGTTTGCGCCGGAAGATGTACAAGCTATCTGCCGTCCTGATGTCAATGGGGAGCTCATTCCACCATCTTGGAGCCAGGACAGCAAACCCACGTGTTTTTGCTGATGGGAACTTGGGTCCCCCTCGCAGCGAGGGTGCAGCGAGTCGTTTGGCTGATGCAGAGCGTAGTGCACGCGCTGGGGTGTACGGTTTAACCATGTCCTGGATGTAGGAAGGGCCAGATCCATTCGCAGCATGGTAAGCAAGTACCAGTGTCTTGAAGTGGATTCTAGCAGTTACCGGAAGCCAGTGAAGGGAGCGGAGGAGCGGAGTGGTGTGGGAGAATTTAGGAAGGTTGAAAACCAGACGAGCCGCTGCATTCTGGGTGAGCTGCAGAGGTCGGATGGCACATGCAGGTAGACCAGCCAGGAGGGAGTTGCAGTAGTCTAGGCGTGAGATGACGAGAGCCTGGACCAGAACCTGAGTCGCTTTCTGGGTCAGCTGGGGACGTATCTTCCTGATGTTGTAAAGCGTGTATCTGCAGCAACGGGTTGTAGCAGCGATGTTTGCAGTGAAGGACAGGTTGTTATCTAGGATCACACCCAGATTCCTTGCAGTCTGAGTCGGGGAAACAACTGAGGTGCCGATGTTGATTGTTAGGTCAAGAGTGGGACAATCTTTTCCCGGAAGGAAAAGCAGCTCAGTCTTGTCAAGGTTGAGCTTGAGGTGGTGAGCAGACATCCACTGAGAGATGTCAGCTAGACAAGCAGAGATGCGTGCGACGACCTGGGTCTCTGAGCGGGGAAAGGACAGAATTAATTGGGTAGCTTACGTTTTCTGTTTGAGTTTTCCTCCATCTGTGTCCGCCAGAGGAGCCTGAGCCTTGTCATCGTCGTCCGACTGCGCTGCATCATTCCTGAGAGGAACATTTAAAAAAAGAAATTACCGTTAGCTTAAAAAAGGCTTTGAGTGGTGGGAAATTGCTACGAGAAAAAGGCAGTGCTATAATGAGGATGTGTCTTATATCAAAAAGCCTATTCCCTTTTTTAGGAAAAACTCTTATTAATAGGAAATAATTTCTATTGCATAATCTTTCCAGTTTTTGAATACACATGTGTTTTTATACTTGATAAAGCACTGTTTATTCTTTAAAACACATTATTGTTCTCACAAAATAACTACTCATTACATGGAACAGTGCTGAGAAAGATACAGATATGATTCTGGCGTCTCTTGCTAATACAAATATGACATTACTGCAACTGAAATATTATTGTCTGCTTACGAAATGTACTCCTTGGTCCTCCTCATGATGTGCAGAGTGAGGGGGTTTATCGCTGCAGGAAGTTTCTCCTCTGCCTGGATTAAAGGGATCTCTTCTCCAGTGTCCAAATTCTTGATCATCACACTGGCAAGGATTTCCTGTTTGAAGATAACGTGTAAGGAATGCGCCAGAGGTTGGGTTATGGCTCGTATTCAAGTTGAAAAATGTGGCAGTAACAACAAACAGAGAGGGAGTCTTACTTCATCTGTCAGTTCTCTACCAGAGTGGGAACGTGGCCGCTGGGAGCCTGGAGTTTCTCCTCCGTCGTCAAACGAGGCCCGGCCATCCTCATTTTCCTGAAAAAACAAAGCAATGGTGAAATTGTGCAAATAAAGTTTCATTTTGAGGATGGAGCAAATTCACTTGAACAGACTGAATTCACAGGATTGCTTCATTAAGGTGCGGAAGCCGTTTTTGACATTGCTGGAGGATAATTCATAATTTAATTAAAGAGCTCTGCTGCTGCTTGTATTTGACTTACTCTGTAAAGACTGCGTAATTCTTAATTGTGTCTGATGTTTGGTAATCCATCCCCAGGTTTTTTTATTTTTTTGTTTTCTCTTTGCCTCCTTTCGGTATTTTGTTTTGTTTTGTTACTAGTGGGTTACCCTTGGCCTTTTTGTTTATGTCTACGATGCTGTCGACTGGCAGATTTAGACTATTCTCAGGAATTTTCAATGTAATACTCAGCTTTTTTTTCTTTTCTTGTACACCATGTAAAGCAGGGCTATTCATTGGCGGCCCGCGGGCCAAATCCGGCCCCGGGCTGATATTTACTGGCCCTTTGAGTATAATGTTAAAAAGTAATCTACTTTTTATTTGTATGAATTCTTTTTTTAAATAATTTTGTTTGGGCCAGAGTGCCTTTATTTTTTTAATTTAGCCTTTATTTATACAGGTGTAGATCTCATTGAGACACAAGGTCTCATTTTCAAGAGAGACCTGTCAGTGGTAACACTACCACACAAAGTTACAGACAGACAGGACACTAAACACAGAGGCAACACTAAAATACAACATCGTAAAAAGTAGTCATTAAAATCCATATACAGCAGTCAGATATAGCAGGTGCAAACACCCACAGATGATTTCTCCAGCTTTTTTAAAATGAGTTTAAAATCCGTGATGGGTATCAAAGTGGTCAGCTTAAGTTCCTGCTGAAGTGTGTTCCAGGTCGAGGGGGCAGAGTATGATATGGCTTTTTTCCCAAGCACCGTGCGTACTGAGGGGACGGACAGAGTGATGTAATGTTGAGATCTTAGTCTATAGCTGTACTGTTTGTGTGATATGTAAGTGGATATGTAGAGGGGCAGCAGTCCAAGCATAGCGGTATAGATGAGTTTGTACCAATGCAGTGACCTGCGCATTGATAATGATGTCCAGTTGACTTTATTCCAGAGAGGGTGTTACATTGACAGATAGAGGGGAAGACATTGCCTAAAAACTTCGGCGGGCTCGGGTTTCGAACCCACCTACTAGCTACTGTAGTGACAAACTGTCATTGATTGCATCTCTGCGTGAATGATTAAATCATTTCACCTAAATCAAATGAAATGATGTTGATGGTTAAATTAGCTTCACATGTAGGCCTACTGAGTTCTGAACTTGCCATTTAGATCTATTAAGGCCTTGGGGCTATGTTGTTTGATTGAATTAAAGACAATATATGCTGTTGTAGTATTTACTGTATCTGAAGCTCTTAATATGATTGCTCATATTTCAAGCCATCTTTTTCCCAGCCCCTTGCTTTGGATCATTTTCATCAACCATTCCAAACTAATTGAATAGCCCTGATGTAAAGGTTCGGGCACCTACTTACTGTATACTGTGTATGTATTTGCTTTATTGTAACTAAAAGGAAAATTCAAAATGAAGTATTACAAAAAAAAAGTTTCATTTTGAGCATTTCTGGAGGGAATATTCGCTCAGTTTTGCAGCCTCACTGACCTGCGCTGTGACCACTTTGTCTCCACTGATGGCGCTGGCCAGATCCAAGGAATGCTGCAGCTCTTTGGTGAGGCTCCTCACCGTGCTGCTGGGAGACACTAGGCCGGACGGCTCCAGGACCTCACAGCCGCCTGCAGACACTGGACAACAGAACAACACTTGACAACCTGTCTGCTTTGTGTTTATGAAAGCAGCGGTATGACTTGGTAGTGGATTAAACAGTAAAATAATCAGAGAAATCAATTTGCCGGGATGCTTGTACTCGAACATAGAGGAGAGGACTCTATGAGCTGTTCTTTCATTATCTCAAACACATAGCTGGGAAAACTCATGTGTAGCAGTGAGCAAATGTTCCCCTTTTGTCAAATAAAAGGTTTCTAAATATAGTATTGCATGGTTAGAACAGCTATAAAATAAAGTGTTTCCGGTGATGATGGCTGCCGTGTCTTTGGCTCCTCTCCAACCCTGTTTTATTGTGTTGCACTGTTGGAAGAGCCTGTGACCTAAGTTTTTCATTGACATATCTACACTGTAGCTATGCACAAAGGACAATACAAGCCTTGAATCCTGAATGGGTTGTGAGACATCAGCATAACCCTAAAAACATTTGATTTTTAAGTAAGAGATCATAGTTGTTTTTCAACATTTCCAAACCTCCCATTGCTCTAAAGTGTTTTCTTTAACAGAAACAGCAAACTCTTAATTTAAAAAAAACAAAAACGAATAAAATGATGCCTCAGTGTTAAATTCAACGTTTACATAATATCTTCGGTCGATGGTATCTACTTGAACTGTGAAGTGTTCTCTGTACCTTCCAGTCCACTTGGTCTGAGACACTCCTGAGACTTCCTGGAAGGTAGAGTCTGCCAAGCTGGGGGGGGCGGCCTGGGTGGAGGTCCTCCGCTGGGAGGGGGGGGGCGAGAGGGAGGAGGCTTCTTGGTGCTTGCTACAATGTCTGGTTCCGCTGTGAATTTCCGCGGGGGTTTCAGAGGACCAGAGGAGTCCGAGTCAGCCGACCCATCTGCGAATGGGACCTGGTCTAAGATATCTGCAGGTCTGTGCCCCCACTCCCCCTCACCATCCACCCCAGCACCCCCAGGGTGACTCAGTCTGACGGTGCTGGTGATGTCTGGGAGCTGAACGCCTTCTTGAGAGCCGACTGATGGCCCTGGGAGGTCTGCGGGTTCAGGTATGGAGCATGCTCCGTTTATTGCAGCACTTTCCTGTTGATCCTCTGGCCTCTCCACAGGTTGAGGTTGGACAGCCGGCGCTGCTAGCCCCGCAGGAACTTCCTGAGCATTATCCTCTTCCTCCGCCTCCGGTTCCGCTCTCACATCAACATGAAGCTGATCCAACAGCTCAGCCACCTCGGCCACTTCACCAGCACTTCCCTTTTGACTCTCCTCAATGATGCTATCAATGATCTTTGAGGAAGAGAAAAACAAAACAGATACTATAATGCAAGTTCCCACTACAACAGAAATATGTCAAAGATAATATGTATCTATGAAATCCACACTGCCATACACTATATTGCAAAAGTAACAAAATATGATGAAATCTCCATGTTATCATAGATCACACAGAAAAAGGGCCATTCAATTAAAAACCATACCATTAGGGGATCATCTTGCTGATTCTCGGATGCGGCCACTCCGCAACTCACATCTTGTGCAGCGTTTACTGGTCTCTGTGAAAGCTGTTCAGAAAACTATTTTAAGACACTACAATACATACAAGAAAGGAAATAACACATGCTAGCTTTGAATAACATCAAGGCGCAGCCACAAAAACAGACTTGCTTTCTCACAAAGAAATATTCTTCTTTAAACATTCCAAAAGTTCTCTAGCTTTTCACTTTCATTATTTAATTTGATGCAGACATTGAGTGACTGATTTTGATCAAATTCCCGGCTCTTCATGCTGATTTTATCTATGCATGAAACACTTTCCTTTTATACAATTTCTCTTTGCTGCAAACTCAATGTTTTCAGTTCTCTTAAACACAGGGCTAATGCTGGTCCGTGAGCAGGTTTCACTCCTGGTTCCATTCTGATATCACTTCAGTATTGTGCTGCAGATAAAGCAGTACATCTTCGCTATATCTCGTAAGGAACAAAGCCTAATTTGAATGTCAGTTGTAACTGCCTGTGTGGGAACAACGTGCAGAGCAACAAGGCCGGATTATATATTTACATAATAACTGTCAGTAAGAAGCTGATATGTTGCCAATGGATGACTGTTCACAGTTAATGACTCATTAATAAAACAAGGCTGTTTCTCACACAGGGTATCAATAGTTTAACATGAATTAACTTAAGGTGGGCGCAGCATTAACGAAAACTACAAACACTGCATTCACCTCTAGATAATTACCCACTGTAGGGTTCAGTTCCAACAGTCCTACTAGGGCTGATCAATTAATCGTATTTCAATCACAATTACGATTTTGGCTTGCAACGATTATGAAAACAACATAATCGAAATAAAACGATTTTTAAAAAAACGTTTTATTATTATTGGTTTTTCAGTTGAATTATACTTAAAGTTCAGGGTAATCAACTGTTAAAAACATACTGTGTTCAACTTATAATAATAATCGTGATATCAATTATTGACCCAAATAATCTTGCCATAATCGAGCAGCCCTAAGTCCTACCTACCTCCTAAACTAACAATCATATGATATATATCTGGCAAAAAATAACTAGTTTCAATCTACCTCAATACTCAACAAAGGATTTGAAAAGAATATGATCTAAATTGTTTTACTATAAATGAATCTAATTTAAATGAATGTATTAGTATGTATTATGATGTATTAACATGTTCCACATCATTTCCAAGCCTTGGTAACACTGAAAATACTGACAAAGTTAGAATAATCAGTCCAATCGCAACTCCGCAAACAGTGCCTTGTTTCAACAGTGACTGGGCTTGGATAAACATACCTTGGGAGAAGGAATGAAAAACTTTGCAGGTGACCTAGAAAAACACAAGGGTAGAGTGAAAAAAATAAATAATCCTTATTATGTCATTATTCGGGAAATTCTGAAAGCAATTCACAGACAATGGTATTCACTTCACTGGTGTTAGGGACGTTATTTAGTAAGCAGATGCTGCTAAAAGGTCAATGAATAGTTTTTGTTCTGAACTTGATAATAAGTAATAGGTACTAGTAAAAAAAGAGCAGCTAGATTTACCAAAATGATTCATGTCATGCATGTGTTATCAACTGACCATTCATTGCATGGTAGCCTTTACAATGTACAATTACTCTGAAAAAGCAAACACTTATAATTTACAAATGACAGAAAGTCCAGGGGGAAGCTTCACAGTTTCACCTTGTTGTAACTGATTTAATGGATCATCATAAATAAGTAGGAGTCCTATCATTATTTGGAAAACAGCCAATGTTTCCTGGTTTATTTTGACTTCAGTCGATACAACCACCAGCCAGCCAAAACACCGAGCTAACACAATGACATCTAGAAAAATATGGTTGGTGTTACAAATTCACAATCTAATCTCTGGAATAACATCATGTGACTAGTTAGGGTTGACTCTCTCTGCACTTACATTAAACAGCAAGTGAATGTAGGTATCCAACACATTTTAATAGTTTATATACAGGACTTACAGGACAGTATTTAGCAGCGACTAGAGGCTCTGATGCAGTTCAGTATATAACATTATCATTTAGCAAAGTTATCTTTAGCTTTCATTACTAACGGTTGCTTATAAGTTGTTTGATTCGTATAACCTAGCATGACACATTAAGCAGACAAGAGTATGCATTGGACACTTGTATGTGAAGTCAAGTTATGAAAATGTAAAGTTTCCTTACACTTTTGGAGATGGAGTAAAGTGAACGTCCTCAGGAGCATCATAGAATTCCTCGGTGTCACTTGTATCTGACGCCATGCTAACATGAATTTAGCTTACAAGCTACTCAAATATAGTCGCCAGGCAGCTGTTTAAAAGCCTAACCTGCGAATCAAAGTGCCACACACATGCACTTGTGCTCTCTGTGTATGTATTATAATTTAAACTACTTTCCCCCGGGGTCGTCAACCACTTTTTCTGTCCAACGTCACGGCATAACGTTACAGTATGCTAGTCAAAATGCTAGGCTAACAAATGTAATCTACTCGCACGGCGGACCAACGCCTACTGCTGCTAGCTTTCTACCCTCTTATAAATCTGTCTCCTTCACAGCACAGTATTTTCTATGAAAGCACCAATAAAGCGCGTTTTTACAACAGCATATACTTGGTCAGCTGTCAAGCTAACGGAGACAGTGACCCGCGTCATAAACAAACCAGAAACACACAAAAAAAACATCTGAGCGAGGTGAGTCAAAGGGCGGGGCTGGGGGGGCTCTCTTCTTCTCCCTCACTGATATTACATGGTTTGTATGATTCTGTAATATCACTGCCCACTACTGGATTCTTTGAGGAAAAGCAAGCAGGAAAATGGGGAAAAAAAACAGGGATGGGCTGTCATCATGTGACATGGGATGCTGGGTATGAAGAAAGGAGATTTGTATTATAAGATTGCACACGAAACACGAGCCTATTGGCAAATAAGCCAATCACTATATTTGAAAATAAAAAACGCAAAAAAATCTATCTATCTCTAATCTATCTATCTATCTATCTATTTATCTATATATCTATTTATCTATCTATCTATCTAATCCATCTTCATTTATCCATCTATCTATTCATTAATATGTATTCATGATCAAACCTTCCATAATCCACTTTTATCCCGCTCTATACCTCAGAAACCTGCCGATGAAATGCTGTTGTGTGTCTTCCCCATCTTGGATCTTGCAGTGGTCATGCATACATATTTATTTCACAGTTCAAACACAGCCTACTTCACTATACATGATCCATTTCTTGGAAAAAATAGAAATAGACGATTCAAATTGAATCCATTTTTTATCGTCACATATGTACAAACCACAGTTAAATTGAGGGTCTGCATTTAACTCATCCTCGTATAAGGATGCGGGCAGCTACTATAGACTGGAAGCAGAGTAGAATATTGCTGGGTACCAGTCCCTCTGTAAATGGTCTGTTTTCGTACTTGAACCCTTAGGGACTTGGTCCCTATGGACTGAGCTACTGTCGCTCTCCATGCAAATAAAAACGTATAACACCAACACTGCAAAGCTTTACTGCTTATAATATTATATAGCCCCTGGTACACTATCACAGTGAGAATCAAAACATTGCATTTATTTGAAAATGATACAGATTAAATTGATTCTGCAATATGTGTGGGAAATGTATTTATATTTATAAATGTTGATATTACTAGAAAATGTTATTACATGGTACTGTTTATCAGCTTCTTTAACAGTCAGCCCACTAATAAGCTGTAAATTGTTTGGTAAAACATGCACATAAATTAGCAGCTGTGGGTCCTATTGAGTCGGCAATCACTAAGAACTGCTGAGCAGCCAACAGTACAGATAAATTACAATTGCAATTGTACTTGACGTTTGTTCCAAAGCGCTCTTTGTTGCAAACCATGTTGATTAATACTGATTTGTTCCTAATTAATTATTGGAGTGGTAAAAAGGTGGCGGTGTCATTAATGAAAAAGCCTCATTGCATTTTAATGAATTGCATTAATTTGTTTTGGTAATATTGTAGACTGTGTGCATTTTTATTATCAAGCGAATAAATATGCATGGCAAAAACCAAAAACGAAATAAACCCCAAACTCTGAATGTGTTTTGCATCATAAGATTGCATTTTTTATCGTCACATTAGGGCTGTCAGTCGATTAAAATATTTAATCGCGATTAATCGCATGATTGTCCATAGTTAATCGCGATTAATCGCAAATTAATCGCACATTTTTTATCTGTTCTAAATGTACCTTAGAGGAATATTTTTCAAGTTTTTGATACTCTTATCAACATATGAGTGGACAAATATGCTTTATGCTAATGTTTATTATCATTTGAACAATGACAAATATTCTCATGAATATTAAACACAACAACCTCTGAACATTACAAATATTCGCCTCAATTCAACCTGGAACCTCTCTCATACAATAATACAATACAAATGGTGTGTGTGTGTGCGCGCGTGTGTGTGTGTGTGTGTGTGTGTGTGTGTGTGTGTGTGTGTGTGTGTGTGTGTGTGTGTGTGTGTGTGTGTGTGTGTGTGTGATGGATCGTTGGAGCTATATGCTCGAACGGGAGCTGCCTGGACGCTGCAATCATGTTGCGCACTATCCGTGCTGAGTGTGCTGACTGTTCGTACAATGTCCCACTGTCTGGCTACCTGCATAAAGTCAAGTGCTCGGCGCAGTTGTGGCGAAATGTCGCTCCTCTGTTTTCATTTAAACAGCTCCATATCCGTTAGCGCAGCTAGCTAGCACCAGATGCTAACAACAACAATGCACGTAAGGTCTCTCTCTCGCTCGCTCGGGCCACACATACACACACCCTCCTGGTCCTCCCAATAGGTGAGCGTGGAAGTGTGATCTGCCACAAGCGGGCGGCAGGAGCGGGGCTGTCAGCATCAGCTTGTAGATGGTATTTTAAACTCGATCCGCTCTGAAACTACGGGGCGGCCGAGGAAAAAAAATGCACATGCGTTAATCGCGTTAAAATAATTAGTGGCATTAATTTTTTTTTGCGTTAACGCGTTAACTTGACAGCCCTAATATATATATATTAATGCTGTCAAAATTATCGCGTTAACGGCGGTAATTAATTATTTTAATTAATTGCGTTAAAAATATTTAACGCAAGAAATGGCTTAGCCCCACCATGAAAAATGATGTTAAAGTAAGCAAAATAAAGTCCGCCAACTCGCGCCGAGAATTGCACAGACAGCAGTTAGTAAGATTGATTTCAGTAGCCACTTGTCTGGAAATACCGAAGACCAGAAACGGTTTTGAAAACTTTTGTCACGTAGTGATCGTCTTCGCAATAGAACATCTTTGATAATGTCTTCTGGCCAATCAGAATCAAGATAACGGCGTGGTGTTGTTGCAGGAAGTCCCGACGAAGTCCATACTCCCCCTCTTCACTGGAGAACTGCGCTAAAACAGCTGGGGCCTCATTTATAACGCGGTGCGTAGGATTCACGTGGGAACAGTGGCGGCGCCAGGGTATGACTGGGGTAGGCTACAGCCATACCAATAAATGGCTTAGCCCTACCTTAGCCCAACCATGAAAAATTATGTTAAAGTCAGCATGTTGAGAACACGGATTGCGAAAATCTACCGGTCGTGTCCACAACACACAAACTGATCTTGCTGTAACAACAAGTGCACGTTACTGACGCAATATGGTTGAGACCATTCGGGCTTATGCTAGAGGGGTGTAAGGAATAGTCTAAGTAGTGGGGGAGTTTTATACACTAAAGGTGTGGAAATCAGCGCGGCTGCGGTCAGATCAAAATGCCTCCGAATGCAATTTGAATAGACCTACAGCCAATCAGAGCAACGAAACGTTGGGTCTGCTGCGTCATGTATTACTGATATGTCACGTTCACAGTGAAAAGTCCCCAAACTCGCGCCGAGTAAATTGCAGACAGACAGCAGAACTTCTAGGATTAATTGTATATTTCGGATGGATAGATTTGTTCTTAAACGCCCTCGCATTGAGGTACAAGTCGAACAGGTGCCAGAGTCACACGACCCACCTGAAGAGTGAATAGTGAGTTTTGAATATATTTTGTAATAGTAATTTGAAAAAGTGTTTTGTATGACAATAGAGATACTGGCTATCTGTTGTGTGCTGTGTCTGTCTCTCTCTGTTTACCTGTGTCTCTGTCTCTCTCCCTCACTCTCCCTCTCTCTCTCCGTGTCAATTATATATGCCAATTTTTCTTGTTTCTGCCGCTGCGTAGCATGTTGTAACAACGTGGAATTAGCAGAATAGGCTATTGTATTGTTTAACTCACACCTGTTGCTCTCGATGTAATTTAGCTGATAAAAGGAGACTAATAAAAGCTAATAAAAGCCTCACGCTTGGCGTTTCACTGTCAAGGGGTGCGATATAGCGTGTATGTAATTACATTACAAATACTGACTTGAGCCCCACCACTGTATGTGTTAGCCCTACCATAGATTACCCAACAAAAATACTCTGGCGCCGCCATTGCGTGGGAAGGTTGCTTACGTAGTAGAAATACAAAAAATAGGTACAGAAATGTTCCGACATTTTCCGATTCATCAAACATTGCGTACCAGCGAGGAAAGTGCGTACAGCACTTCCTACGCTGGTTTCCCTTTATAAATCACAACCGACTCGAAATGCGGTGCAGCTTTTGCGGGCTTCACGTAACGCCCATATTTGCCTATAAATAGTCAAAGAAACGCCCATTCATTCATTCATTTTGACTGACTTTATGAGGAAGATCGCAGGAAATGACGACAGAACAGCTAAAAAATACATCTCACACCGTGTCAGATTTTGGTTATTTTGGGGAGGTCGAGATAAATCATATTGTTTGGTGGATGCCGTTTGAACCAGAGTAGCAGCATGGAGGTCGGATCGTCACTAAAATAAATAAATAAGTGGTCTGAAAAAGGTTAATGACCAAAAAATACACATAGCCTTCCTCAGGCAGTGTGTTTGTACCGGGGACAGGAGACCCCCCCTTGATGAGAGACTGTAAGAAATGATCGGGGAATCCCTCCGGAGTGGAGTCATGACGACTGGATCTGAATTATGTTTTCGTATTTGGTGGTTTGTGTCCCAGCTGTCGATCAGCTTTGCGCAGCGTCTCCACTGCAGCCTGTGCATCTCAACCCCCCCCCCCCCTCCCCGCAGCAACTCTATATCCACCAGTTAAAGGAAATACAACTAATGTGTTGTGTTATATTAGCTGTACAATTTACCACATATGGTGTTCTTAGTTTCCATACCTCCTGTGTTTTATGAGCGACTTATCAAGTCTTAGCAAACGGCATAAAACATGATTAAACATGGTAGTATATAAAACCATGCCCGTACAACCTATAGAAATGCAAAACCGCATCATTTGAGAAAACATTTCATAACATTAACACAACATATTCGAGGTGGTTTTAAATAACATATCCGTATTTATTTATTTCTCCAAGTTATGTTTTTGTGTGCACTGAGAAGTCTCAAACAGGCGTTTGTTTAATCATTTTAAGATTGGCTTTAATCAATGTTTGAAAATGAATTATTCATATGATAATAGAGAGGTAACGTTTTATTTATGGTATTATTTCCACATATTTCTCTCCATTCTTCCTTCTGCCAACGGTGTCGCAGTTTCTCGTCTCTCCCGTGTTTGTGCTTAGTGCGTACGCATGGGTTAGAGTTTGCGTGGAGGACCGCACGTTTTCCCGTCAAGTT